TAGCAGAGGAAGGTTGATGACCACCGGACTGACTACCTGTGTCCCTGCACTCTTCCTCTCCTCTTAGTAGGCTGCATCCCGGTTGGCCAGGGCAGGATGGAGACAGAGTGGTATCCTAGGGACATCGAGTCATATTGTGTTGAAAACGCAGAGTGGTCTTAACAAGCAGTTCTAACAGCCTAGGGATGGGCCTTAGAGGCCTCTAAATAGTAAAGAACTCCAAATTGCCCCATAGAAGAGATCTAGAATTCCAAATGACCCCACGGAAGGGGTCTGACCAAAAAACTAAGCTCACTGCCATAGAATCGATGCCAACTCATAGTGACCGTGCAGGATAAGATAAAACTTCCCCTGTGGGTTTCCAAAACTATAACTCTTTATGGGAGTAGAAAACGCCATCTTTCTTCCCTGGAGAAGCCGATGGCTTCGAACTACTGATCTTGAGATTAGGATCCCACTCTGTAACCAGGATGCTCCCAGGGCTCCCTCGTGGATCAAGAATTCCAATTACCCCATGGAAGGGGTAAAGCCCATGGAGACCTCTCTGGAATGGTGTCTGTATCGCAAGCATACTTTTGCATACCGTGATAGAGTTAAAGATGACTTGATAGGGAGGGGTGGGGAATTCTGGGATATCTGAAGCTCTGAAGCACCCTCCACCCACCCACACGCCCACACACTCCCACTGTCTCTGAAACCTGGCACCTGCTGTCTTCCAAATCGATGCTGGCTTTCCTGGAAGTAAGAGAGGCAGGATACACTAATCAAGTCATTTTCTAAGTGCCTGCTGTATAGAGCCAGCTCAGTGATAATAGCAATACAACTAACCAGAGCGCTAAGAATGAAGAACTTCTGGGTGCGTGCTCTTGGTCACCCACAGCTCTTTCCCTTATGCTTGCAGAAGCCCTGCAGCAGTGTTGCGACCTGTCTCAGCTCTGGTTCCGCGAATTCTTCCTGGAGTTAACCATGGGCCGTCGAATCCAGTTCCCGATTGAGATGTCCATGCCCTGGATTCTAACAGACCATATCCTGGAGACCAAGGAGCCTTCCATGATGGAGTAAGAGGCAGGACCGGGGCTGTGGGTGGAGACTAGTGTGCCAGTGTGCTGCGTTCTCTCCAGAAGGAAGTGTTGAATTGATGAGAGATGGGGGGAAGAGGGGACCAGGGAGAGCACTCAGGCTAAGGATCTGCCACCTGGCAGATCAGTTCAAGAGTTTCCAGCCCAACGAACTGTCCTATATGTTGCCAGTTTCATAGCTGCTATGGCAGGAAAATGATCATTTCTAGGGATCAGGAAGCTGCCTGAGTTCCTTTCAGCCCAGACCAATGTCTGTAAGTAGGCATTGGTGGTGTCATGGTCAAATTGTTACCTTCCGTGCAGGAGATGCTGTTTTGATCATGGCCTCTGCCCCTCCTGTGTACTCCTCTGTCAGTGGAGGCTGGCATGTTGCTCTGAACCTACTTCAGCAGAGCTCTCAATGTAAGACAGTCTGGGATGAAAGGTCTGGAGATCTTTCCTAAAACAGCAAATGAAAGCCTCATGTATCACAAAGGCCACCAACCATGGGGATGGCCTAGGAAGGACCAGACGGCATCCTGATCCATTGCGCAGATCCTGGGCAGCTGTCAACAACCATCTTTGGGTTGATTGGCATTGTGGGTTTATTACTTTTTGTTGTGAATTAGTTTGGCAGAGCAGGTCAGTTTGACATTCAACAACTCATACACAGCTGTTTCGCCTCGTTGCGTGTGCTGCCCACCCTGTGGCATCTCTTAGCCCACTTCCTCCTGGTTTCCGTTTCTCGTCCTCCTCCTGGCCTAGCCCTTCTGATCTCTGTCCTTGGGTAAATGCTGCCCTTTTGATCTCAGATGGCTGATTCCTCCATGGGATTTGTCCTTCTCCAGTGTCACTGTTCCCCTTTTACGCTACTTTAGTGTTTGGCTGGACATTGAGCCATGGGGTGAGCCCATTTCCAGTCCAGAGGGTGACTAAGGTCTGTAGTCTCAGGAGTTCCATCCGTTTCTGTTATCCAACCAGCAAGCCTGCTCTTTTGATGATTTTTATCTTTGTTCCACATCTTTTTCCCACTCTATGAGAACCAAAAATAGAAACCCACTGCCATCAAGTCAATGCCAACTCATAGTGACCCTAAAGCATAGGTTGAACTGCCCCTGGGGAGTTTTACGATCGGTTACCATTGACAGGAGTAGAAAACCTCGTCTTTTTCTGTCAGGGCCATCTAATATGATCCCTTTCAGAGCCGTTGGTAGTGGTAGCCAGGCACCATCTAGTTTCTTCTGATCTCAGGGTCCTAGAGACTGTGTGGTCCTAGCCATCTGTATGGTCCGTGAGTCCATTGGACTAATTGTTTCCTCCTGTGTTCCATTGTCTTTACGCTTACTTCCTTCAGAAAGGAAGAAACCAATAGTTGCACCTTAGGTGACTGCTTTCACAAACTTTCAAAACCCTTGCCTCCTTCCTGTTCACCCAAGTGAGTGTAGAACATTGTCCTTGTGAACTGTATTATGCCAGCTGATGTGGTTGTTCTCAAGACTCCTTCTCTCAAGGTGTTTGTCTTGAGAAGTATTCATAGCTTTTCCTCTCTACTCTCTATCACAATCATGAATCTTTTTCAGCAAAGATAGTACCCATGTATAAAAATTCTCTGTCGCACCTGCACATATTCATGGGTTAGACTCCCATCTCCCCCCCCCCACCACACACACACACACTCATTTGCGCATCTGCTCGTCATTCACTGTGTTGCTGGGTTGTGTGTATAACAGGACTCACCTCTGTTGCTTTGACTCTTGCAGGGGTTCCAAGGTCTTCCTCTGCCTCCCACCAGGTCTTGCCAACTGACCTCGTATTTTATATTGCCTTCTTCACTCATTAATGGGACTCTCCTTCTCTAGCCAGTGATGGGTTCTCCAGCTCCATTCCTGCTAACAATCAAAGTGTGTTTGTTTTTGCGTGAAAACCTTCTCTTGACTTTTGGCAGTAGTGGTCTCGTCCAAGTTGTGCCTTTTGTGAGTGGCCTATTTCACAAAGCACAGCATCTTCTGGGATTGTCCACGTTGGTGGTGTTTCACGGGTCCATCGTTATTCTCCCGACTTTGAGTGGGTTCCATTGTGTGTACACACTAGTTTGTTTCACCACTCTTCCTCTGACGAACATTTAGGGGGTTCCCATCTCTCTACTTTTGTGACGAGTGATGTGATGAACACGGGCAAGCATTTATCTATTTCGACCCCAGCTGTTATTTCTCTAGAATGGATATTAAGATAATAGTGGGATCGCTGGGTCATGCAGTATTTCTATTTCCAGTTTTTCAAGGAAGCAGTGTGTTTTTTTCTGCAGTGGTTGGACAGCTTCACAGTCCCACCTATGGCGTCAGGGTCCCGGTTTCTCCCTAGCCTGCCAGCACTCGCTGCTTTCTGGTTTTCTGAACTTTGCTCTTGATGCTGCGATGAGGTGGTATCTCATGGTGGTATTGATTTTCATGTCTTGAGTGCGAGCATTTCATTCCATATGTGTTATCTGCTTCCATGTGGTCTTAGCGACGTGTCTGTTCATGCCCACTGCCTTTTTCTTGGTGAGATGTTGATGTCTTCTATAAATTTTAGAGAATAGTCCCTTATCCAATAGATTGATGCTGCTATGCGGCTGATGCTCCATTTTGTAACAGTGTTAACCCCTACCCACTCCTTCTTTTAGATTGATTAACGAACCTCTACCCCCAAACACTATTGCTGGAATAAATAAAAACCGCCATACATTTCTAGTAACTCTAGCGTGATAAAGAAACCCATAAATTCTCCTTAATGGTGAGCTAACTGTCAGTGAGCCAGAAAATAGTGTCTGTGTTGGAGACAAGCTGTCTGGGGTGGTCAGCACAACAGAGACATAAAGCTGAACCATAAAGAACTTTCTGGAATCCCTCAGACCCTGCCCCACGCCAGAACCCTTGTGAATGCTCTTTGCTTTTCTCCCTCAGGACAGGCATGCTCGCATCTTTGCAGGGTGCGATTCCCTCCCAGACTAGCCTCCTGTGCGCGAGCCACAGTGCACCTTACTGCTCCGTCATGCTCTGTCTCAGAGTAATTGGCTTCCTGGCAGCAGGCAGCTCCAACCCACTGTTTACTGTAACAATGTCATTGCTGAAAAAAAAAATTCCCAGGCTGTGGGTTCTCCTTTTACTCTTTTAGGGAAGTTTTGTGCTCTGGTTCTGTGTTTTCGGTTATGTTTGTTCATGTATTAATGCCATGTAGTAAGATTCCTAAGTTTTTCCCTATTTCCCCCCCCCCAGCCACTTCCTTGGCATTTAATTCACAGCTCAGTACTTCAATCACATCCAGAAGAGTTGCATAATCATCACCACAACCAGTTTCAAAACAATTTGTACTCATTATTATTAGCTCCCCATTTCCCCCTAACATCCCCTGCCATGTCCCCAAGAAACCATTAACCCAATTACAGTCTATAGATTTACCAATCATAAATTTCATATGCAGATAAACTTTAATAATAATAATAATAATGAAGTAAAACAGACAAAAACCTCAATTGCAAAGAAAGCAGAAAATATTAAAATCTAGAAAAAATGTTAATGGATCATGAGGGAACTCAAGTGGTGGGGTGATGCGCTTTATAGTTCTAGATTTCACCTTTAGGTCTTTGGTCCATCTTGAGCTGAGTTTTATATATGGCGTAGCCATGAGCCCTGTTTCATTTTCCTTCAAGTGGATATCAAGTTGTACAGCACCACTGATGAAAGGGACCATCTCTCCCCCATTTCATGCACACTGGCCCTGTCACAGAGCAGCTGTCTGTAGGTGGGTGGCTGTATGTCTGAGTTCTCAGCTCTCGTTCCTTGGTCCACGTCATGGACTTTTGCTTTCTGGGGACAGCCTGTAAAGTGCCTAAGTGGAGGTTGGTGGGCACGCCTTAGTGTTCTAAAAGGTTGTTTTTCCTAACACTGCATGTGTTTGTCTCTTAGCCCAGTATTTCTGAGCTCTGGCCACTGTCTTCTCTCCTCAGGTATGTCCTCTATCCTCTGGACCTGTACAACGACAGCGCCTACTATGCGCTGACCAAGTTTAAGAAGCAGTTCCTGTATGATGAGATCGAAGCTGAGGCAAGTGGTTGTAACCCTTGTTCAAAATCTGGACTATCCAAATCCCCAGCTGCCAATGGGCAGGTTCTGGAGAGTGTGTCTTATAAATGTCCACGACCATCACAAACAACCCAGTTGGGGATCATGGGCTTCTTTTCCAAATGTGTTGAAGGATGCCAAATGATAGCATTACACAGGCAGTGGGATTTCTAGGGGGTCTTTTATGGTTGTATTACTTGGATGTAGCACTATATCAGTTCCTGGTCATTACATAATTTCCACTTGCCAGGCACTGTGCTAAGTACAAGGAGCCCTGGTGGTGCAGTACTTAAGCACTCAGCTGCTCACTGCAACATTGGTGGTTTGAACCCATCCAGCACCCTGTGGGACAGAGATGTGGCCATCCGATTCCCTAAAGATGGCAGTCGTGGGCACTCTGGGGCAGGGCTGCTCTGCCCAACTTTAAGGCAATAATCTGATCCTTTAACCCCATTTGCTTCAGCTTATAGTCAGCCACTTTCCCTTCCCATCTCCAAGCTCTCTTCCTTGCCATGAAGGGCCTCACAAGCATGTGCCTGGGTACCGAAGCTTAGTGTACCATGTCTGCCCACAGACAGTGACAAACCCTAGGGCCTGGGGCTCGGGGAAAGACCACAAAGAGCTGAGAAAGGGCTGGGGCCAGTTGTCCAAGATAGAGCTGATTCTAGAAAAGGGACATGAACTCGGAGTGGGCACCGCAGCTTTGAACCTGAAGATTCGTTACCTAGAGGAAGCCCCACTGGGGACCCTTAGAACTCCATTTGCAGGGCAAAGGCCTTGACGAGCTGACCTCGGGACAGTGCAGTGCCCAACCCTCTGACGAGTTAAAGACAGGAAAGCTCTGTGAACAAAGAGTTCACCTTATGAAGCCAAGAGAATTTGGTGAGAAAGGGAGCAAAGATAAATGCAGCTCATTTCCTTTGAAGTGATTTTCACATCCTGCTGCTACCACAGCCCCATCTCTTTCAAGCCCCACCCCTGCCCTTTCCTGTTCTTGGTCTTAATGGAAGCTTCTCCTGGCTGACGGAACCTTTTCTTCCCAGTGATGTGATGAGACACATACAATATCAAGACAGCACTTTGTTCATGGAAAACAAAAGGTTTTGAAGTAAAGTGTATATAAAAGGTCATTTCGTGTTGTTTTAATCTCTAATGACCATCAAGTTCTTCCTAACCAAATCTAAAAAGCCACATAAAAGCCAATGTCCAGAGAAGACAGGAAAGCCCATCAGGGGAGATGGTCTGGGGAGGCTGCAGGACTGGGTTCTGTTAGTGCGTAATTCTGGGATACTAGATGGGTCTGTGTGAGCTCGCTGCTCGTGCCCGGGGGCCAGCTGCCCAGCGACAGCACTGGAGAGAGGGGCGAGCCTTTGTGAACTTGGTGGACCTGGTCCTCTGCTGCCTGGGGACCAGAGCAAGGGACCAAACTTCCGCATGTAAATTAAAACACCCCAGTGAGCCATTTCCCTGAGTCTGGGAGATAGATGCTAATAAGTGGGCTCCCAAAACCCAGTCAGCCGAGAAAATTAGCCTTCTCTACCGCAGCACTTTGCAGAGACTCTAATATCCTAACAAGTAAGCCAATATTCAGGATATTAACACATATGCAAATACCTAGGAAGGCTGATGACACATCCCAGACTCCCTGGGCACCGGAACATTTGTATTCTTCCGCAGCGCTGTGCCCCGCCATCGTCAGCCTTCAGGTCTGGAACTGAACCCACCTCTACTTCTCCATTTCCAGCCAAACAACAGACAGCGCTGGGAAGGGATCAGTAAGCATGGGGAGGCAGGCACACCTTAGGATAATCAACCATTTAAGATCAAAGGGGCAGCACTTACCCAGGCACAAGGCTGAGAGAGTTAGGAAAGAAGGGGGACAGAAGCAGGAAAGCTAGGCAGTGGGATGCATGCTAGCACATTGAGGGCCTTGTTGATGAGTTGAAACAAAATGTGTAGACGTTGTTGATTGTCAGACCGGTGACCGACTCTGGAAGCCTGGAGTCAAGCCACAATAAAAAGGTTCCCAAACACAAACAACAACACACAGAATTTGGCCCTAGAACATACTTTGGACAGCCCACTTCCAGTTGCCTGGGCTTCTGTGACAGTGGTAAGGAAACCAACCCATGGCCCTTTCCTGCTGCTTCCTCACCAGGTGAACCTGTGTTTCGATCAGTTTGTCTACAAGCTGGCGGACCAGATCTTTGCATACTACAAAGCCATGGCCGGCAGGTAAGAGCTCCAGGAGCCGTGCATAGTGATCTTCTGTAAAGCTTCCACCAGGACCAGGTACAGGGGACACACACACACACACACCCTGCCATTTTCGTTAGCACCTAAAGAAAACGGAGCATTTTCATGAATTTGGAGTAGGTGCTAGAATATAGCAGAAAGGAAATAGGGAGGTGTGACTTTGAATCTAGTGGAGTTTAAAATTTATTGGAAAAGATGGATATTAATTAAACCACTAAGAGAATACAGGAAGGTCACAAGAGTCAGAGGCTGAAAAACTTGCCCAAGATAGGAACATGTGAGTTCATATCTGATGTTGGTAGGAGAGAAGTAAAATGAAGTGAAGATAGGGCTCTTGTGCCTAGGTCCTGTGGCAGAAGTGGAATACCAATAGCCTCCCTACCTCATAGGGCTATAAAGAGGACTGACATGAATATTGCAGATAAATATCATTTGTGGTCAGAGTTGCTGGAGGGCAGACCAAAAGATGGAGTAAAGCTGAGGAGTATGCCGGATCCAGGTCACACCGGCCTGGTGGGCAAAGGACGTGTTTTGGCATTTGTCCCAGGAGCAATGAAAAATTATGAAAGAGTTTCCAAAGTCAAATAGCGACTTGATTTGATTTTTGTTTCTAAAAGCTCACTCTTTGGAAATTATAGAGCTATGGAGAATGGATTAAAGGTGAGCAGGAAGCAGGAATGAGTGTGTGTAAACTGCATATGAGGCTAATAAAGAACTCAGGATAAGAAGTGTGTCAAATAGTACAGATTCAGTGTTATTGCCCATATAGACTGAATTAGACCCCCAGGAATTCCTGGATTTCAAGGACCCAGAGTAGTGTGGATCAAGTAATACTGCTAAATGTATTCATAGATATTCTCTTTCTTAGAAATCCAACTGTCCATGCCAGTAACTTCGTGGATGCTTCCTTACTTACATTGTTTTCCTTTCTGCAAAAAGGATTTGCTTCACTTTGCCTTTAGCACCTAGAGCTACTGTGATCTGTTTCAAATAGGAGTTGATATACACACTGGTTTCTGTTAACATGGGCTGTGCATTACACAAAGTGAATGGGAGGGAGTATGAAAGGCATATCATTATGACATCAGAGCCTTATACGAAGTAGCAGCTTAACAAGTGTTCACGGATTGAGTGAGAAGTGGTCACAGCACAGAATCTAACTTTATTGTCAGATTCTCTAAGACAATTCTGGTCACACACCTACTCCTCCATGATGGGCATAAACAAACAGACACTTATTAAACCTGAGTCCTTTGCTTATTTCATTGTAAACATCCTCACTTGAAATACTTCCTTTAATCTAGGACCTTTCCCGAAGATAATAGTTTTCCCCTCAAAATGTGGGGAGTAGACTTGGAGAAGTTAGGGCAAGGCACAGGAGGGGAAGAATGGCCTAGTTCAGCAGTGTCCAATAGAAATATACTACAACCACAAGCATAGGCCGCATACATCAGTTTAAAGTTTTCAAAGGTTTTTCTTGTCTAAAATGGAAAAAGAAATAAATGAAATTAATTTGAATAATATATCACACTGAACCCCATGTAAAGGGTGATAAATTGGTAAAAGTGCTCATCTGCTGGGTCAAAGATTGGAGGCCCAAGCCAACCAGCTGCACTGAGACAGAGACAAAAATATGGCCTTTTGCTTCTGTAAATATTATAGCCTGGGGAGCAGTGCTGTTGATCCTGTAGGGCCTTAAGGATTCAGAATCAACCCACTGGCAACCAGCTAACCCAATATATGCCAATTTTATCATTGCGTCTTGTGATCAATATGAAAATCACTCCAACAGTATCTTGAATTCTTTTTATTTTATTTATCTCTGTCTTCAAATGCGTCTCATACATCTCACGTTGGCCTCACTTCATCTGAAGTGCTCCAGTAGGTCTGTGCGGCTAGTAACTTACACGTTGAGTACGCAGCTAGCTTTATAACCACACTGCTGACCTCCCTGGAACAAGCAGCTTACCGTGGGTTGGATGAGAAGTGGTCGCAGCAGAGAGCTGGGACTTCATCCTTAGTTTCGCTAGGACAGTTCTGGTCACACACCCACTCCTTCAGGATCTGCAGAAATAAACAGACGCTTATTAAACATGGGTCCTGTAAGGTAATTTGGTGGTGGAAAGAAAGAAAAATGTCAAAGACAGAAAATAGTTTTAAAGTTTTATTTTAGAGCTCCCGGGCGAGATTCATGGGGCCCTAGGTGGGCTCGGAGAAGTCGTGCTGCCTGGGATGGTGGGGAAGGGTTTTATGGTACTGGTCTGTGGTAAAGGCAATTGAGGAATTTTCCATTGAGGGTTGGCTATATTGCATGGTGGGCAGTGAGTAACAATGTCAGGATGTAACAATGCTTATCTGGAGCTGGCACCCATCTGCGTCAGGGCTTTAAAGGCCATCATCAGGAGTTGCTGCACACCATTGTGCACTGTCTCAGAGGCTTGCTCCACTCCCACCCCACCAGGTCCTTTGTTTGTTTCTTTGTAAACTATCCTCATTTCATTGTACGATATCATTCCATATGGAATACACCTAGCCTCTTTGCTGTGGCGTATGAGGTTCCACATGATCTCACCCCTAGAGTAACTTTATAAATTCACTTCAGCACCATGCTTCCTAACAAGTTCCATTGTTATCATTAAAATCCCTGTTCAGAAAACCTCTTTAGAATACAGATTTTCCCGGAATACATCAGTTTTCTTACTGTGGTGGCTTGTGTGTGGCTGTGCTGTTGGAAGCGATGTCACTGATATTTCTAATGCCAGCAGACTCACCCAAAGGGAACAGGTTTCCTCAGAGTTCAATTCTGAGGAATCAGCCACTGGACATATAATCGAGCCCCTGTCAGATACGGAAAACCCAGTAAAGCAGCAGCATAGAAGCCGTGCCAGAAGATGAGCACCTCGGTCAGAAAACCCAAACCCCAGCTCACTGCTAGTGAGTCCATTCTGACTCATAGTGACCCGGTGCTTTCTGAGACGATAACTCTGTATGGGAGTAGAAAGCCTCATCTTCCTCCCTCGGAGCTGGCTGCTGGTGTTGAACTGCTGGCCTTGAAGTTAGCAGCCCAACTCCTAACCACTATGTCACTAGGGCTTCCTCAGGTTGGAAGGCCCTCAAAGTATGACTGAAGAAGAGATGTTTTCTCAGAGTAGGGTCGGCCATAATGGCATGGATGGACTAAGCTGAGGAATAAAGCCTTCCAGACATTCACTTGCTGATGCAGCGCAACTCAAAATGAGGAAAAACAGCTGCAAACATCAATTAATAATCTGAATTTAGAATGTATGAAGTATGAATCTAGAAAAATTGGAAGTTGTTAAAAATGAAATGGGACAACAAATATTGATATTCTAGGCATTGGTGAGCTGAAATTAACTGGTGTTGGCCAATCTGAATCAGAAAATCATAAGGTTTACTGTGATGGGAATGTCAGATTCAAGAGGAATGGCATTGCACTTATCTTCAAAAAGGACATTTCAAGGTCTGTCATGAAGTACAATGCTGTCTGTGATAGGATAATAGCTATCTATATACAATAAATCAAGTCAATACAACTATTATTCAAATTTACCAACCGCCAAAGTTTGCAGTCTAGAAATTAAAGAATCTTCAATCTGAAATTGATCAAACATGAAATAAAGATGCATGGGTAATGATTGGTGATCGGAATGCAGACCTTGGAAACAAAGAGGAAGGGACACTAGCTGGGAAGTATGATCTTGGTGGTAGAAACAACGCTAGAGGTTGCATGTCGAATTTTGCAAGACCAGCAACTTGTTAAAGCAAATACCTTGTTCCAACAACACAAAGGGTGACTATATACATGGACCTCTCCAGTTGGAGTCCACAGAAATCCAGTTGACTCTATCGGTAGGATGAGATGATGGAGAAGCTCAATATCAGCAGCTCAAACCAGGCCAAGGGCTAGCTGTGGACTAGACTATCAATTACTCATGCATAAGTTCAGGTTGAAACTGGAGAAAATTAAAATGGGTCCACAGGAACCGAAATATGATCTTGTGCCTATCCCAACTGAAAACCAAGAACAGATTTGCTTCATTGATCTCTAATGAAAGAATGTTTGATGAGCTGAGGGAGGACATCAACAACATCATACATGAAGAAAGCAAAAGGTCAATAAAAAGACAAGAAAGAAAGAAAAGATCAAAGCAGATGTCAGAAGAGACTGAAACTTGCTCTTAATTGCACAGCACTTGAAAGAATGAAGTCAAAGAGCTGAACAGAAACTTTCAAGGGGCAGCTCAAGAAGACAAAGTAAAATATTATAATGAAATGTGCAAAGACCTAGAGTTAGAAAACAAAAAAGGAAGAGCACATTCAGCATATCTGAAACTGAAA